ATCCGTAATTAAGTATGATTGACGGGCAATTTGTTCCGTTTGTACAACGGCAGGCTAAGCCGTCAATCACGACGCGTGTAACAGTCGCGTTTATTTCAACGCGAAACACCACGGCACGGATCAATATTACGAAGGGCATGTCCATTGTTAGACGGTGTATGGGTCTCGTAACGCGTCAAAGGTCGCATTTAATTAGCACCTATCGCGCCCTTCGATGCGTCAGATCCCGCTAACGGTTGTTTGATCGCGCAATCGAGATATCCGCGCGGAACGCGTCGAATGACGAGGTAACTGCACGCGGTCGCGGTTACACGCCGATGAAAATAGTCGTGACGAGAGCAATCGGAAAATTCGCGGAGCTATAGCCAGCCATCGTTTCAATGGCAACTCGATTTCGTCGTAAATTTCCCGATCGATCGTCGCTCGAGAAAAGAGTTCTGCTCTCCGCGGGTACCGTTCCGTACAGATTTCCGATCTTACGTGGTCGGAAAGTGGGTCAGAAATTGAAACCGAGCATAGATAGCTGGAGTGTATGGCGCGATTGATGAGCGAGAGATAAGGACTTATGAAATTGGAGCGAGCGTGGAGACGAAAGGTTGGAATGGGAAGACAACTCGCGATGGGGAGATGGCCAGGGTAGCCTTCCTTGGTTTCAGAGGAATTGAATGAAACGCGATATTAACACAATGGACAATGAGAAACCCCCGCGATCGGAAACGTCGGCTAACACGCCTGCGAAGGCGACGCTTTCGCCATTCTTTTGCTCGATCGACGGTCGAAACGTCTGGAGACGTGGGACGTCGACTCTTAAGAGAGAAACGACAAATAAGACGAGCGGAGTCGCCTAGTGACAAAGGCGTCGCGGAGCGGTATGTACACCGACGATGTGGACAGCCCGCGATCAGACCGGTTTGACGTTCCCCGGGAATACGTGGTTAAATTTCATTCTGCTACGTGACGTTTTCAGTTTCCGCCTATTGTGAGACGCGCGCGGTATCGCGTTCGACGGAAAGAGCTAACGTGGTAGGCGCGACAACCCGCTCGGATTCTTCTTACTATCGGCGCGGAAATTCACGGTAGTACCATAACTGAAAATCCAACGACACCGTCGCTGGAATTCCATTGGGCGGGGTGACCTGCACGGATGAGTCCTGGCTGTTTAATAACAGAAACGCCTCGCCTGGTTCAACTGGTTGGGAAGCTGGTGCCGTGATTTCGAATTCTTATCTCAATAATGTTCCTATTTGCGCAATATGGTAAAGCGTCGGGAGAGGTGCGCGCAGAAAGTTTTCATTTCCTGCGACGCCGTGGAGAAATACGATTGTATCTTTGAGTAGCGAGTAAAAAAGAATTTCATTTCCTCTCGTAAACCCCCCGGACAAGGAACGCTATGATATATGCCTGTGTGCGGCGGAAACAAGTTTCTTTGAGCGAACTTGCGGCTGAATCTGGGCCAGTCGGTATCGCGTTCGGCACAGATTTCAGAAAAACGTATGTAGCAAGGAGAAGAAAGCAGGATGCGCCTTTTACAACGTTTCTTGCGTTGTTCGCTACTTAACTCAGGCAAATGGGAGCTCGGTGTACTCGAGGATCCCGTTTGTTCCCTTTGACTGCTGCCATTTTGCGAGTATCGTCGAAAGACTTTTAGAATTAAAAGATTCCGAGCCAAGAAATAATTCTTCCGGGTAATCGTTGGTTAATAATAATAATATTCCAAAGATATACGATTTATAAAGGTTAGCATCTGGCTGGGGAAAAATAGAGCCGGCGTTTGCAATCGCGTTCGAGTTCGTTTCAATTTTAATATCGTGCCACCACCAAGATGGCCGCGATCGCGGGACCGATAGCGCCACGGTGGCGTTCGGGGGAAATAATTCGACGAGTCCATTTCGCGACCCGGTGACTCGTATCCAGTTAGCTGGGACGGGGTGTGGAAAAGTCTAGAGAAGATGGAGGGTTCCTCGAGGAGGGTTCGAGTTACTCTCGCGCGGCCACCGAGGTTTCTTGGTCCGTAAAACGTAAACGACGAAGGTTACGGGAGCGGAGACGGCGCGAAACGTGGCTGCCGCGTAAGAAACGAGAGAAGAACGAGAGAGAGGTCGAGGTTTCTGCGAACATCTGCCAAGCAGGCTGATTTCCAGCCAACGATAAGACCTCGAAACGCGGCCGACCCGGCATAACCGCGCCGGAATTCATTAGTTAACCCCGCGCGGAGCGCCATTTCCATGGACTCGTTTCGCAGCGCGGCTCGCGAGCCACTGTGTACCGCGGCGGGAATTGTATCGTTGAAGAATTCAACGGGTCGGAGGGTGAAGGGTGGGCCCGTTCCGAATGGAAGAGGGAAAATGTTTTCTAAGGACGACCCGAGGGGATGGCGATGGTTGTGGCGCGCGTAAAGCGCGGACTAGAGGGAGCTACGAGTCCGTCGGGGCTCTTGGCGTGTCTTGCACCGATGCTTTTGAAAGCGTAATCAATTGTCCGTGACTGGGAGCACCGGGCTACCGCGAGTTCGTCGCGTTAAAGATGCACGTGAATCGACACGCCACCTTATACTCTGGTAAATATCGCTTATCTTCGACGTGGCAAAAAGAAAGCAAAGAAAAAGGGAAAATATGAATGGCGAGGTTATTGGTCGCATAGAACGAGTTACGCCTTCTGTAAACGGGATTTACTCGAATCGCGATAACGGTGTACGATAACATTGATACTTTTGCCGCTACATCGTGCGAATACGTTATATAACGTAGAACGTAACCGAACGCAGACGGTAACCGAGCAGGATATTCAACTCCCTGTCACGCGTGTCGATGATCTGTCGCTGATCAAACTCTCGGACGACGGCGCTCAAAGCAATCCGACAGGAGGTTCTCGTGTATCTCGTGGCTGGCAGCGGTTTCTTAACGAGCTGCTTCGTTCATCTCTCACGTACGAATCGCTCGGTATTCGCGAGGCCCGCAATCGGTTCTCCGTGAGTGGAAGCGCGTAGTACATCAATATGAGGATCGCGAGAAGATGCGTTTGGGCGCGACCGCGTGCCGCGACCAGCGCTCTGCGCATGCGTCGCATTCCCGTTCCGTCTATCCTCGTCCGCCACGCGGCGTGCGCGTGCTTCTCTTCCTCGCTCTGCCTCTCTTTCACCGCTAGCCTGCGCGGTGGTGGGGATAGGCAACTCGGTTGAAGTTCGCGAAGCGACGGGAAGGGTGAGCCGAGCGACAAAATAGTGGGGCGGAAAGGGTCGTAGGGACGAGAGGAGAAACGCGTGGAACGCTTGGGAGGGGTGAAGGGACGATGGTCCGGCGGTCGAGTGAGGCAGAAGGAGGGGGGGCCCCGCTTGTCGGGCGATGCCACTCAACTGAATCCCCGCTCTGTCCTCGCGGCAGTCTGACGCCGGTCGCGCAGTCAGCATGGCTGGATTTTCTCGCAGTTTTTCGCCGGTTCTACCGTGCTAGAGGCGAGCGCAGTCGGTCGTGTTCTCGCGTCGATGGTGCGTGCTGTCTGAGTGTCGTCGTCAGAGCCGTTCGAGACCAATCGCGATCGAGTGTCGGAGACGCGTGCCTTGGACCGAGAGGCGAGCCGAGAACGAGCGAACGAAAGAGACGCCAGATAACCGAACCTAACCTCCAAAGACAAAGATGTGTCGCGACGTAACTCTCGTTGTTTCGCGGTCACGTTGACGTGTTTCTCGTCTCTTTTCGTATCGTTTCCTCTCGCGACGTGGAGCTCGTCGAGGCAAATGTGCTGGCTTGCTGTGTTACTCGTCGTGCGCGCGATATCGTGATTTTCGTCGTGATCGCGCCTAAAGTGCGTCGCGTGACAGCCGTGTGTGCTCGTGCGTCTTGGCACGGAACGGAACAAGGACGGAAGCGTGGAAAGAACAAAAGGGAACGGAAAACTACTATGCGTCTCGGTGTAAACGAATCGCTGACGTTTTCCGAGTGAACGTGTGAAAGAAACAAGGCGAGAGCGAAAGGGAGAGAGAGATAGCGTAACGTTACGCGGGGAAGGGGCAGAGGAGAGGTCACACGAAAAGGGACTCGGCCGTCAACGACAAATCTTGACCCACGAACGAGGGAAAGATTTCTCGGAAGGCAGTTTGAAGGTGACTCGGTGTTTTTGGTTCGGAGTTGCGTCTCCGGCCATCGCATTCTCGGAATCAACACCTCTCGCCGCTGGTAAGTACTCGTGTTTGTTTCTCTTTCGTTTGGTGCCGTAATTTAGAGGGAAAAAAGGTGAGAAGAAATCGATGGAAAATTTCCGCGTTTCTCGCGTGGCGAAGTCACCGCATGCCGAGATGTCTCTACACGCGGCGTCTGGCCGTCGGCGTAATTCTCGCCTGGCAAAAAGAGACGAGAGCCATGTGTGTGCGTCGGCCGGGCCGGAGTGTAAACAAGCGCGGTCCTTTTAAAATGCCTACATATCGCGTTCCGTTGTTATCTGTCTGACGTAATTTCGCCCCGGTTTCCTCGTTCAAATTTATTCGTGAGGTTATGTACGCGTGTCATTCGCCTCGATATTCCGCGAATTAAACACCGGGAAGAACTTTCTCGCAAAGGTACATATCTTTGTACATACATCGCGTTAGTGATTTACTGTTAGAACAAAGTGACCTTGAATGTCGCGGTGAGCCGGTTTCACGCGAATAGCGCTAGCGTCGTCGTTGTTCGCGATCGTTTACGCGAAGACGATGTCACGTGGTGTGACGGCAGAAGCGGGAAAACAAATGGCGTCGTGCCGCGTTGTTTTTCAAAATTATACAGCGATAATGAGCTCACGGCCACGTGATTTGTCATGGAAGAGCATATTCGTGTAAAAACTTGTAATATAATATAGCGTGTGTCACATGTACACGTGATTATCGTTGTTTTGCACAGATAGAATTTATCGGCTAGATTACGAACTAGCGCGCAGTTTTCATGGCCACGAAGCGTGTTGGCGCTAGCGTGGCACACGCAGGTACGGAAACGCAGAGTATGGTTGAACCGTAAAACGCGTTAAATTAACTCCTTTCGCTATAATTACGAACGGAGCCCGTCGTGAATTTTTTACGCATACCTAACTACGGGAAAATGTGTTACTTTCGCTGTGCGAGTGAAATTACGCGTAACACGTTTCGACGTATTACTTCTGGCTTTCAATTATTGAATTCGTATTACCTCGACGTGACTTTCCATGTAACACAGTACGTACCCATTTCGTACGATTTTTATCGAAGATCTCGCTTAACGCAATTTCTGCGTGTAATTGCTACAGGGAAAACTGGCGTAAAATCACAAATAGGGGCACGGTTATTACAGTATTCGCGAGGTCGTGCAGTTGAAGATTTATTGAAATAAAAGTACGATTACCAGTCGTGATCATGCATTAAAAAACTATAAGCGACGTAAACAACATTACGTATTACATTCGATTTTATCTCCGAGTAATTATTACTTTTTCCTCCATCGATAAGTTCCTTCAGCGGAGAAACTTTAAACGATAAATAAGCTTGAAAAATGTACCCAAGTAATTGTTAATTTACTCGTCATCGAGAAGCAATTCTTTCCCAATTTGTCGAACGACTTTCAAACGCGCACGTCTCTCGCCAATAAACTCCGGGTCTCTAACTCTTCCCCCCTTCTCCCCCGATTCTTCCTTTTTTTAATTCCCGCGAAGCTTCGCGTTTGATGCTTGTTTAAGTACTCTTTGAATTCGAGCAGGCGTGGCCCGCGTTTCTTTGTCATTAAGAAACTTGTACACGTTGAATTCCGCGCTGAAACTGCCGCTTCGTTTTACCGCCCACTTGTTCTACGCCCCTGGCCGACAGTCTAAAATCGTTGTTTCGTCTGGACGAAAAAAGGTCAGGAAAGAAATTTCGGGTTCTATGGAAAATCGAATTCGTCTGATTCTTTTATCGCACGGGATGCGAAAGTTATTTCCGCTGTAACTCGCAGCTGCCCTCTGCCGTTGCCGATCTGGAACTACGCCATTCTCGCGGACGAGAAAAATGGCCACGAAAACCCGTCGCCTAGCTGCACTTGGAACAACGCACTCTTGTTTTTCCTCGAGCCAAATCGTGTAATTTCCTGGCCTCCTTATTATCGGATTCATAAAGAGAAAAATTAGGAATCGAGCTACCTGGAATTATCAAATACGAACGATCTAGACGTTCGTTGACCTAACCTATGGAGGAGGGTTTCATGGAAAAGAGTGTCTTAAATAAAGGAAAGAGAGAAAATGAAATTGGTAATGTGTAACTCTGGCGCAAGGCTGTTCGATTAAACGTAATATCGCGATATTCCAGGCATTATCCATGGAAATGGGGATATTAATTTCGTTAGATGCCGGGATGGCCTGGACATTTCTTTGGTCCGGCTTGTTGTTACGTTTTTAAGATCGCTTTATTTTTCCCCTCCTTTCTATCGTACGAGATCCTTTCATTAAGGAGGGAACGTTTTTACGGTGGCCGTTTGGTATTTTGCATAGAAAAGTAGGATGGGGTGGTGTTTGAACGGCCGAGATTAAAGAGTTTTGTTGCATTCGTTGTCTGGCAGGTGGGTTCCTTTACGAGCGCCACGAGACGCCGCGTTGCAGCGCGAAAATGACAATCTGAATGCGAAATTAGGCTTGCGACGCTTCGATGCGGGACGCAAGCTAAGTCTTCGGCTATGAAAGATGCATCGGAAGAAGCGCGCGTGGAAAACTCGACACACGGTCCGTGTGTACGTGTGTGTGTGTGTGTGGCCGCGCGTGGTTCTCCTGTTTCTTTTACGGGATGAAAAATCGTGGAAAAATCGACGAGCGGCGTTCGCGGAAGCTTCGTGGCCTTTTGTTGCTCGAGTACGTCTGAGAAGCGTGTCGAAGTTTACGCTCAGTCGATTTTTGTTGCAGCCAGACCCTGCCAGCCTCGTCGAGACAGCCTAAGTGTGTTTTCAGGTGTCGCTTGTTTAAGTTACACGGTTCTTAGCTGTTGATCTAACTGCGGAAGCGATGGCCTAGCTGGGCCTGAAATTCTCCATAGTCTCACTGTCCAGGGTCGTAAATGCTTCGAGGTCGTTGCTTTTTGGAGTTACTTGCACCTCTGCAGGGCTCCCTCGGTCGGCTAGTTTAACGCTAGGTGCCTCGGGGTTGCGTTTTATTCGAATTCTATGTGCCACGGAAAATGCCTTTTATTGAAATTTATTTTATTTTTGAAACAGACCGTAATTATTAGGACGGTCTCTACCGTGGAACTGTGTTTCCCGTGGCATCGATTATTAACGTTTTAATCCACGGCCATTGCTGTTTCGTGAAAGGCATTCGCAATGCCTCTTGTCGTCGAGAGGATGTAATTTAATTAGAAAATTACTGGTGAAAGGTACTGCAATCATATTATCCTTCGTTTTTATTACATTATGGTGGAATACTACTATGCGGCGAAATTGATTTTTCGAGATGAACATGCAGTAACGTAGTGACTATTGACGTGGAGCCCCCTGAAGTGGTTTGGTGCTTGAAAGATTCTTCACTCTCGAATAATTTAATTTCTAGCTTCTTTAGAAAGTTTTTCCAGGAGAATCACCATTCTCGTTTCAAACAATAATGTTCGAAACCGCTGAATAAGCCGGGAAATTTAATCTTCATACAGTAACACGGCATTCTCTGTTATTTTATTAATAAATAATTTTAATTGGCGATTTATTCGTTCCATTAGAAGGTGCAAATTCATCGAATATTAATTAGCATGTAATTCATGGGTATGGTGTAAGCGTATAATACCTATATAATATAATACGTCCAACAATTTATCAAGATCTCACTGTGGTCTTACAAATTCCACAAAACGCCTCGAAATCGCGACCCAACAAAGAGAAGCAATTAAAAGCAAAATCTGCCTGAAAATCCAACTCCCTTAACCTGTCTGAATAACAAATTTGCAAATATCGTGCTTCGTGTATCGGATAATATCTCCGTTTTCTTTCCCCGAGCGTATCACGGTTAAAGGGTTGAAAAATCAGATCCAAAGAGCACGTAAAAGTTTTCTGAGCCACGTCGCGGGAAAAACGGAGAAATTCGGTGGATCGAGGGAGAACCGCGTAAGAGTCGATCCACGACACCGATATCCTCGAGGTTCTCGGCGTTTGAGGGTGTTCTTCGGCGGCTAGGTCGCCTTTAAACTGCGCTCACCTTTAATGCAACCCCGTGCGAACCCTCGTCGGGATCTACATGGCGGGGATGTAGTAAAAATTCCACATCTGCGGGATACTCGGCGGAGGGCAGAACAGAAAGGGAGGTGGAGCCGGTCGAAGAGAGAGAATGCTAATAGTGAGGCGCGGAAGGGAACTTTAAGACCCCGTTTGTAGTCGGAAAGGTCGTCTAGCCACGGTATTAAATCTATTTCCCTGCTGTTCCCAAGTAACGACACGGAGTCGCATCAAAGATTCAGTGGCCCTCCGATGATTCCCGAAACAGCGACGGGATGCAGGGTCTGGCGAAATTATTTATCCCGATCCCGAGCAGTAATTTAACGGAGTCGATGTTCCAGTCTGGCGAGACTGAAATAAAAGAGCGCCATTAATTACCCGCTCGACTATTTACAAAGTCCCTGCGAACGTATTCCGTCTCAGCGTTCGCGGAAAAAAGCAGCAGCCATCTTCCTCGTCGACGAGTTTTTCCAATGACACGCTTAACCCGTCCAACGACACCGTGATCTTCCGGCAATTTTTCTCCGCCGTTGTCTCACCGGGACGTTCTACATCTCGCTCGTTTACCGTTTCTCGTTAACGAACCAACGAACCTTCCCTGTCGTCCAAGCGTCTCTCCTGAGTTCGGAAATTCGCGATCGAGTTAACGACATTTGGTCTATTTTGTTACCTGTATTGGAAATCGAAGGACCATGAAACCATGGGGAGTTTGAGGTGCTGCATGCGCCAGGTCCGCCATATTGGAAGCTCGTTGTCCGGTTCGGTAGTTCCAATTCGAAGAAATTAAAATTGCAGGGAAAAGCAGGGTCAACCACGGGATACCAGCGTGGAAGGAAAACGCGTAGAGTGGCTGGGGATGGTTTTCTTCGTCGAAGAAGAAACTAATATTTGCCGCGTGTCTTGGTTTGAAAAGTTCCTGGTCCATTAGAGGTACCATCCGGATCGATGGCGAGACGGAGGAATCGGAAGTGAAATAATAAACGGTTGTAGATCGAATGGAATTGCTATTTACT